GAGGGACATTGAATATCTCCATTTCCTTAACATCCATTGGTTTGCGTCCCATGACGAGTACTGGGCGTGTGCATAGCACTAAAGGCCAGGGAAATTAGAAAAGTTGCACTCACACTTTAAAGGAATATTCAATTTAAGTATTTAAGACTATTGCATGTACCTCGAGCCGGATCTATCCAAAATCACACACACACACACACTCCTGCTGACAGACGGACCACTGAGCCACTCTGCTTTCTCTTGCTCTTTTTGCCTTCAAGATCTCTTCTTTGCCATGCATCTCCGTGCCTTAAATTTGTTTCTGAAAATATAAGGCCATTGGATCAGGTTCTCTTCTTCTTCTCCTTCTTACTTGGAGTGTTGGAGACGATTAGGATCATCAGATACTTGGAGGGATATAGATCAGAAGGCAATTATGGGTTGGTTGAGGGAGATAATTGGTGGAGTATGGTTCTGCGTTTCAACGCTATGGAAACTGCAAGAGAGACGCTTTTCTGGGATTTTCGAGGATTTGAGAGTTGTGATAGATGTTCTCTCTGATGCTCTCGCGCGTTCCGCTGCATTCATGCATTCAGAAGGATGAATTATTCTGAGGACCATGAATGAATCAGTGAATGAATTGGTTGTCTGTAGCGATGCTTGCTTAATCATTTTTCCTTCTTATTTGACTTTCAAATCATGGGATCGATCGATCCCGCGCGTCTTCCTATTGGTTACGTTTTTTTTTCCCCTGATGTTGTTCTCTTTATATTACTCTAATTTGTTTTTATTGAAAGAGCAGGCATGTGTTTGAGTTTCATTTACAATATTCAATTTCATCTTTGAGTTGATGCCGTTCTTGACCGCTTGAGTTGTTCATGATTTTTTTTTTCTTGTGTATCTTTTAAAAAAGGTCAAACATTAAACCTAAGTATCTCTTCTAAAAGAATTTAAACCTAAGTATCTCTTCTAAAAGAATTTAAACCTAAGTTTGCTATGTTGTGAGATACTAATTCATTCCCCTAGACATAATTCATGCTGGTTTGAGTTATTCATCAGAATTATATCCATGTCTAGTAACATGAGATGATAAGCTTTTCTATTACCTTTTAAAATCCATAATTTCACGTTATTTGCAAAAAATGTTGACAAATGATTTATTTATATATAAATCTTGATTATTTAGTTGATTTGAATTGATTTATTTACAAATAAGCAAAAGTAATCATACATGGCGCATGAACTTCCCAAGTATTATAAGAGCTTCCTCATTTATAACAAACCATTGCATGTCTCATATTTAAATAAAATTTTATACTTATCCAAGAATTCTTATTATTTAAACAAATAATTATAATTATAGGTTCAAATCCAACACGTATGTATGTATTGTAAACCTAATTGAAAGAAAGCATAAACAAAATAAAGTCCCATCTTTCATTCACAAGATTCACAATTTATTCCCTTGCTATATTCAATCCACACACTTTTATGGCAAAAAGTGCAGCAAATTTTAAGAGCCATTAGATGATTTTTTTTTATTTGTTTTTGGGAAAGGCCTGAATCATGACGACGAATGATAAAGAGGGAATAATTGAAACGTGTTATTGTATTCCATAATAACGAAAGTTCTTATTTAAAAAAATCTGAGCTTGCTGGTAAAATAATGATCCTCCCTAGACTGCCGGACATCACTTAGGAATTATTGGAGGAATTGCGCTATATATTTCTTTTATTATTTTTGCGGGATAATAAAACTTCTAGATGATTGTTAGTTTTATAAGATTTATATTTATAAATTTTGGTTCCCGTCACATCTTGTTTATAAGAAAATGTTTGGGTGAAGGGTCTCGTCAAAGAAAGGCAAACGCATACTTTCAAATTTAAAAAGCTTATGGATTTGTGGGTTATAAATTAAATCTTTATAAATAATTTATTTTAACATTAGTTATTTCAATTCAAAGCTCAAGCCTTTAGATGCAATTTTCTTCTTTTTAAATTATATATAATGAAAAAGAATATACTTTTGAACATAAACATTAAAAAAAAAGTTAATATGTAATTTAGACTTTAAATTATAAATTCAGATATGCTTTAAACTCTAAAATTTTAATTAATATATTTTAAATTTTAAATAATTAAATTAATGACAATTTTAGTCCCACCATTCAATTGGTCAAACGTTGACCTTTAGATAAGGAGAGAGAAACTTTTTTCAACTAGATTTTGCCTAAGTGGCATGTCATGCGTAGGTTAATATTTTCAAATGGGATGAACCACAAACTCTGCATCTCTTTGGTTTTTTTTTTTTTGGTTTTTTTGGGCGAAGATAAACTGTGTCTCTCACTCCTTGTCTTTTCCCCTTTCCCCATCCAATAACTTGAACAAGCCAGCATGAAGCAATAATTTTAACAAACACAAGTAAAGCAACAAATTCATCCAACCGCCTAGCCGAACAAATTCTAGCGCAAGCAAAGCAATAATTACAAGAAGTTATACAGCTTTGAACATCATATTCTCAAAATACTGCTAAGGTATTGGTTTGTTAAGTTTCATCCGACCCCATCTAGGAAATTCTATGTTCAAAATGGCTCTTGCATTGGGTGAACACTTCGAAATTACAATAGCAACCTACCCTGCTTCTAAAAGCAATGGGGTTCTCAACCACTTAGTTCGAAGAGCAATTTGCACATTCTCTGGCCCCCAAAATCCAGAACAATATCCATTTGCTAGGCCAGAAAAACTCAAAATCCAGATCCATAAAGCCAAATCAGAACAATATCCATTATTTGGTCTATCGGTCTGAAGCAAGCTAGAACAATGAGAACCCAAAATCCAAATCTATAAAAGTACCCATTTTCTTAGCTAGAAAAATATTCCAGTCAGTGTTGCCAGAGATTAAGCGAGTCAAGGTTGATTGGCCATTACCAAATGTGACAAACAAGGAAGGAGATGAGAAGGTGGAGATTTCAGCTTTGGATCCTAGAACCTATAGTTTAAAGTTCATAGTTTATAGTTCAAATTGCAAATTAAAAAAAAAATCAAAAACAAAGGTGGAATTGTTGGGTAGCCCATGAGGCCAGGTCCAAAATGGGTCATTTTATTTTATCTTACTATAATCAAAAGAAATTGTCAATTGATGAATAATGGGAGTTGGATTTAATAGAAAGAACTAGTTTTTATAATATAATGAATCAAGATTTGGATTCCTATTAGGAGAGGTGCCCAACCATGCCTCAAATATGATTGTCTCAAGTTGAAGAATACCTGTAAGCAATAAAAAAGAAAAAAAAAAACTCTCAATTGATTTGCCTGATTGCTTCTTTTGGGCTTAAGTATTGATGCGTACAAATATATAACAGGTTTTGCAAATGCATGAATCATAAAAATAGTATGCAATAAATCAAAGTCGTTCTTACAAAAAATCAAGTTAATTGATAATTAGACATTAAATTTTCTATTTTTATTTAAGTTGAGCAAAATAAAATTAGATTTGATTTTGCAAAATAAACTTGAATTTATAAAAGTACACTAAAATTAAAGTTCTAACAATAATAATAGTTAAGACAATATAAGGTAACCAATCCTTTTTTTAATTCTTAGAGTATGTAATTACCCAATTAAATGCACTCAATATTGGCTTGTTAATCTAGAGTACTAATATGAATGGTTATCTTTTGATTAATTACACTCTTCTCTTAAATTAAAAATGCTATTCCAGAACAATTACTAAAAAGGCACAAAAGCACAAATTCACTAATATAATTTAGATCCAATAGGTATATTCATATTCTATTAGCAAATTAGAGTAAATTCTAATCTTGCATTACTCAATCTAATAATCTAATTTAAATTCCCTTCTCCCAAGGTAAAACTTAAAACTTCAAATTCATACTCAATAATAGCTAGGCATTAAGCAAACAAACAAATGCAAGATTAAGTAAGCAAAACTAATATTAAATTTAAATAAAATGGTTCAAATATACTCTAATTCAATAATTAGTTCATAGTTATCCTATATTTAGAAAAAATTAGTCACATATGACTCTAATGATATCAAATCTTAGCAATATATACATTAAAATAAAGAAGGAGAATAAAAGTTTAATCAGAGGAATAATGTGCTAGATCCTTAATTTCCCACCGAATTCAAGTTTCTTCAACTCTCCTTTGTCTCTTTTTCTTCTTCAACCGGGACATTCTACAGTTGTTGGAAGTGAAGAGGTCTCAAAAATAATACCCATAAAATCTTAAAATTCATTGAAGATCAAAAGTTTGTGTCTTACAGCCGAGCGTGTTTTTGCTTCAAGGAACGTGAATTAGTGCAGGAAATTGGCCCAATACTCTTCTATGTTAAACATTACCCACTTATCATCAAAATTTCTTAATCACTTGTAAATATGCACCCAATTAGTCAACAAAAACCCCTAGATGACTCCCCTTTTAATAAAATTCAAGTGAAAATTAACAGCATATTGGGAGTCATCAGGTATTAGCCCAAAAGGTTAAAACATGCCCTGTTTTCCAGATGTACATTAAAGCTTTTGATTGAAGAATGCCAAAGATAATAATATGCATTCAGATGAATATATGTATGATTTTCAAATTTATAGGCCTTTTAATTACTGTCGCAAAAAATAATATGTTTGAGCCACAGGCAGAATCCTCAGAAAGTCCAAAATTTTAGTTTATTTGGAAAGAAGAATCCCATAACTTGAGTATGTCTTAATTATGAAGAAGACAAAATCTATTTCTAAATTCTAATACACAAAGAAGAAGCCAGTTATATAGTATTTATTGGGTTTTTGTTATTATCACTCAACAGTATTTTGTGTTCTTGTCATTATATTTTTTCCCCAATTAGAGACATGAATATCATTTTTCAAATATAAAGCCATATATTTCATTTCATATTATATTTCATTCCGTTCTTTCTTGGGCATCATATAACTCCTAAACCTTGATAGTTGTCTAGTAAAAGATGGCGTTACCTGCACAGTTAAGAGAACAACTCCTGTCAATAATTAAGGAAAGTCTCAAAACACAAGTATCAATAATAATTATTACAGATTTGACCCCCATTGCATTTGAACAAAGAGGGTGGATTATTCATTTTCTTTATGCTTTTATATAATTCCTATACATGGACTCGAACAATTTTCTGTGGAGTATGTTTCTTTACACTATGATTCAGTGTTGTGGAGGATTTGGTTACTGGGTGTGTGACAGTAACATCATAATCTCCATGGAACAGTGAAACATCCACAAATCCTCTGCTATCTGTTTTGGCTTGCACAGACCCAGACTTCCACTCATTCAGAAGCTTGTCCACAACATCACCAACTGGAGTATTGCGGAAATTTTCATCCACGAGATGCATGTCTTTGAAACCAGCTATTGCTGGACCAGAAAAAGTTATGATCCCTTCAACTGCAGGATGTGCATAAGCCTCTCTTAGTATCTCCTCCAAGTACTCTTCCTGTTCAACAATTCATGAATGAACTCAGAATTTTTCAATCACACAAGCTGGTAACATCCTAGATTGTTATTAGTTTCATGCAGGTTCAACAGTAATAGTTTATAGTACAGGTAAAAACCTGGTTTGGGCCTTTATCTACACTGACTTCTGTGAGCCAAATGGGAAGTTTAGTTGTGGCCAGAGAATCTAGAACAGATCTCATGAAAGCAAGGTTTGGTTGGCCTGAAACAAAATGACCCTGCAATCCTATTCCTACTGATATTCCTTCACTTCCAGGGTATGACAGAATCCCCTCAAGTTTCTTCTTGTATTTCTCTGGGATCACTGCTTTATCCCCACTGTACTCTATTGCATTGTACTCATTCATGAACATGATTGGCTTTTGGTCAAGCTTGTAAGCCTTGGAATAATATTCTGCAGAAGCATTTTGGCCAAGTTTATCCTCAAAAAAGCTGAAGTGGAGATTCTCATTGACCACATCCCATGCAATCAGTTGCCCTTTGTATCTTGAAACCACAGAATTCAATCTCTTCTCTGCTGCTTTTTGCAATTCCTCAGAAGATAGCGATTTGACCCATTGAGGCTGTTCTTTTGGGTTGTCCCAGAAAATATTATGGCCTCTCACAGCAATGTTGTGCTGCTTGGTGAACTCCAACATGGCATCTGCAATACTGTAATTTTCTTCACCTTGCTTTATTTCTGTGCTGTACCATTTCATCTCGTTGGTGAAAGTTGTGTACTGGAACCTTGATGCGAACCAGGTTTGGTAGTCTTTGCTTGTGAGAATGTTGTGGTTTATACTGCATCCAAATGGGAAGCCTGATCTTATTTGATTTATTAACACTGTAGTTCCTTCTAATGCTGTTCCATTTGTGTGAACTATCTGGAATCTCACCTTGCTCTTGCGTATCTGCAGGTTTGAAAACAAGATCTTTTGTTCAAATTCATGGCAGTATTCATTTTTGTTCAATATATAGAAATCAAATTCTTCATTCTAGTCATCTAAAGATTGCTTTTGGTTCAACATGTTACTGAAAATTTTTTGTGCTACTTGCTTACCCTCTCAATGTTGCAGTCTTGATGTGATCTCCATTGTGATTTGGTGAATGGTTGTAGTGAGACACTGTCAACCCATAATTCCACTTCAGTATTCTGGCTCTGCAATATTGTCAAAAAAGATTCTCTGATCATACTGTTTCCTCTGTCTATAGGTCTTTTGAGTTTTTATGCTTTCTGTACCACAAAAGAACTTTTCATGTTTTTACCGAAAAATCCCAACATAATCACATGCTGTTATCAGCATTCCCTTGAGAAACAGAATCTGATGAATACTTCAACTAGCCCTATGCTGTAGCTAGCTGCAGTATATATACAATAACAAAGTACCTATCACTATTCAATTGCATCATTTATGAAACACATTGGTTGATAAGATTCATTGCAGTTACATATTTTGTTATTGATTCTCACTGGTTTATGAAACATATTGCACTTCACCTCGAAAAGAATCTCGACAGAGCTTGAGAAATTTGCAACTATGCCGCCTTTTAGCAGAGTCCAGCATCCATGCTGTGCTATCACATGACCACCTCGTACCAGTTCACTTCTGTTAGTTCTAATGACAACTGACACAGTCCCTGTTTCTTCACCGAGTTGAACCCAAGCTGAATGGGAAGAAGGGACGAGAAATAAAAAATTATTATGTTACTATGTATTCTCAAATCAATACAACCACTTGATCAATGTCTTCATCAAACATTGATGGAACAGAAACATGTATAGAATTTACCAGAAAAGGCGTATCGCTTTCCTTTCTCAAGTTGGATTCTTTGTGAGAAACTATCTAATGGGTGAGTTCTGTTTCTGGCAACAACAAACCTATTCCCTTCCTTTGATATTCTCACTTCAATAACTCCTTTCCCATTAACTGTCCAACCTCTTAGGCTTTGATCGAATCCTGGATTCACTATAATGCCTCCTTCATATTGGGCTCTTTGTGGTTCCACCAAACACTGCATAATCAAACATTGAATAAAATGAACTATACTTCACTGAGATTCTAGCTAGTTTTGCAGGACAATGTAGAAAGATTTTCATGAGACTGTGTCTTGCCTCTGTTGTTACAGAATGATCATAAGAGATAGCATGAACTCTGACACCTGAATGTGTTTAGCAGATATGTAAGTTAAGATTGCTGAAGTGAATTCCGTAGATGGCACAGAGAGAGAGAGAGAGAGAGAGAGAGAGAGAGAGAGAGAGAGAGACCTGAAATCAGCAGAAGAATTGAGGCAAGCAATAAGGTGTAGGCTTCTGCTTCAACCTTCATCTCTCTAACACTCAGACAAACCTCCTCTAAATTTTGTGCTAATGACAGTGAGATTAGATGCTGTGTTTGGCATCAAATGCAATAAGGGAAGCTGACTATGAGACCAACGAGAATGTTACAGAAGATAACTGCATTTATAGCGCGCACAGACAAAGCAGGTTGTTTTTTTTTTTTTTTTATCTTATTAAAAAAATATAATCTCTCTTTAATCTTTGTCCCACGTGTAATGTCTTTGAACTTACATGATGCATTGTATTTGGTGATAAAAATATGTTAAACAAATAATAAGTTTTTTTTTCCATGAAATTAGCAGAATCTAAACTCACAGGTAACTAGTGCAATAGAAAACAAGAGACTTATTGCATGATTTGTGTGAAGGGTTTAAGAAAGTGATACGTTATAATGACCTTTTAAGCAATGGTAGAGAGGAAAGGCAACTCAAAAGGCTGAAGAGAGAGTAAAACAGAAGAGGAACTCAGAAACAAACAAAGAAACGACCATATGAAATGTCAGGTACGTTGAGAAATGGATTCCAATGTTGTCTCGTGAACCACCTTAGGAAGTGTTCAATGTACCAATGTGTGCGTGAGAGAGAGAGAGAGAGAGAGAGATGAAGTGAACGGTCTTGCTTGGTGCAGCTTAGCTTATGGACTATCGTGGCGCAGTACAAATTTTTTTTTTTTTTTGAATAAAACTGAAAGAAACATTAGCCAAACTTACAGAGCAATAGAAACAGTACGAAAAAAAAAACCAACAAAACACAAAAACACACGCACACCCACCCACCGCAATCATCAACTTCAATGGTGGTGCCGTACTGTGCGCACAATTTTATGACACCCAACTTCAACCCCCCCCCAAAAAAAAAACAAAGGAAGCAGGAAAAAGAAAAGTTTGTATAATCAAAATGGAAGAAATAATTAATTATATTATTAATTAATGAGTAATGACCATATCTTGAAATATTAGATTTTCATCTTTGACTTTTAAATCGGTACAAGGAAAAATATTTAAGAACCTCCATAAAATGCTCATATTCCAGGCGTGCTATATCTTCTATATTCATTAAAATGATAAAAATGAGCATATGTGGTAATACAACACAACTAAAGAGAGTAATAATTACATTTACGTGAATGTAGAACTAGGATATCTCATTTACATTAAATACACATGGAGCTTGTTTGATGTGTTTGAATTCATGAGTTTAAAGAAACTTGTAAGATGTAAATTCCTAATATGGGTTCACATAATTAATTTTTAGTTTTGGATAAACTTGCAGTGTTAATTCTTATTTACGTTAAATACTTTAATTTGTTTAATTTCTTAAATGGTATAAATACAATAATTTCACAAAAAGGTTACTTGCCCTCAATTCGGTCCTCATTTTGGTCTTAAATAAAAATTTATGATTTCATAACGTCTCAAATTAAACGAAAGAGAAATTAAAACTTCTAGTCCCATAATTTCATATTATTTTGAGATTAGTCCCTGGAATTTAATAAATTTTATTCAAGTGGCTCCCTGAATTGTTGGCAAGCCGTTTGCCCCTTGATTTTTTATCCCCACATATTTACCTTTTGTTGTGGTAAAATAAAACGACACAGTGGAAACCCAGATAAAAACTGGAGATAGGATTAATTTTTACACTGGCCTTTGAGTAATAATAAATTATGGGAACTTTTCCTTTAAAGTATATTGTTAATTTTGGACCTGTTTGGATAACCCTCAAAAATACATTTAACTTATATTTAAAATGTGATTTTGCCAAATCTAACAAACAATTGAATTTTTTTAAATATTCTTTTATCAAATATAAACTGAAATTTATACGAGCACTTCATGTTATTGACTCATTACTCAATAGTTAACATGCATAAGTAATGAGTTATTATTTTTTTTTTTATGTATGAGTGGAGTGACTTATGATGCCATTATTTCAACTATTTTCCTTCTTCCTTCGGATATTTTGACTGTTAATAATATGTAAACACTTCTCTTTTTGGAAGTTTCTAGTTGAGCCATTTAACCTGATTGTTTGTTTGGATGGGAAAAAAAATTGTGATTCCATATATGTCAAATAAATTTATTTCCTAAATCCTTAAAGAATTAATATTAGCACAAATGTAAAATATATAGCTATTTAGATTATAACTGACATAATAATAGTATTATTTAATTCTTAAATTTTATGTTCCATACAATCCAAACAAAAAATGCGCCTAATTTCCATTTGAACATGACGTAGTGGATCACCATCAATCGATAGTGCTTTGATGAGTGAAACAAGCGGAGTGAAACGAATATGCATTAGTGGGTTTTGAGTTATTGAACACTCACTCCCACTTTGTCTCCCTGTGAGAATTTGGTGATGAAATTGTATGGGATATAAAGCTAATCATGCGTGCACTAATGGGATTTGACATTTTATTTTATTAAAGAAAAAGAGTTTAAATGAGTTGGGTCCAAAAACTAATTATAATTAAGGTCTCAATTTTATGAATAATTAAAAATATTTACACATTATTTAGTCAGACTCTTATAGGTATAAGCCACGTTCTTACTGATTGAACTAACATGAACTACATTATTATCACTAAGCTTATCATGTCTTTCAAAAGAAACTATGAGAATATTAGAAAACGATCAAAAAAATAGTTGATCAGTAGTGGTGGCTTAAAGATGGATCATACTGCGGCAACTGAAGTATTGATGAAGAAAATTTATCTTTAGAACCAAGGATAATTGAAATCTTAGTTTGTTATGCTTTGTTCATTCATTCATACATTTAGGTTATATTAAAAACTTAGTTTTTTGAGTATGATATGCGTGTTAGGATTAGAATAGCCTCAGCCAAGACTTACGCAATCTCTGCTTCAACTAATCCTATTTATGTTTGAAATAACCATACGTAACTCAAATCGCAGTTTATTAAGCATTAAAAGATTCAAGACCTCCCACAAGCTGTTCAGCCTTATAAATCACAATTGATTATTGATAATGTTGTGACTTTATAGAACTTATTATGCGACAACCTGCCTTGTCTCTCACGGATAAACAAATTACACTACACATGAGCTTTCAGAGTCACCTTGGTTATGTTAAGGTCATGACTTGGAACGACACTGAAATGGTGAGCAATGGTGGAATTAGGCAAGCTTGAGTGAGTGATTTCCACTTCATAATCTCCATGAAAGAGATAGGCCTCGTACAACCCACTGGCATCAGTTTGACCTCTTAACCTATTTGAGCCCATCTCTTTCAGAATCTTATCAACTACATCTCCTGTGGGCAAGTTCTTGAAATTGTTATCTGTCAAACACATCCTGTAACATCCCTCAGGCTTCCACGCTGCCCATATCATAATTCCCTGAACCTTTGGATGAGACAATGCCTCCCTCAGAATCTTGTCCAGGAGCTGAGCCTGCTCAAATTCACCAAGAGAAGAAAAAACTTAGTTGGGAACTGTCAGACACCTAATATTCTGTTAGATTAGTTAGAATAGCTGTTAACTGAATTTGTTATTTATTTTTTTATAACAAAAAGTTTAAGTGAGTTGGATTCTAGAAGCTTGTTAAGGTTAGAACATGCCTCAAGCTTCAAAAAGCGTTTGTAGAAATATTTACAGATTGCTCACCAACAAAATCTTTACATCCAACAGGATCACCAACCGAATTTGTTATTTAAGTTGTACAGATTTTACTTACTTGTACAGACTATATATATATGGTTGTCTTACTTTTATCATATCATCAATAATATTCAGTATTCCCTTTCTGGACTTGGTTTCAGAAATTATATTTAAACCTAAAACAGCTTATCACTTTTGAGGTATCACCAGTGTTTGTGTCATGTTCATATTCTCAGGGATTATAAATATATAACTCTATAGAACATATTGACAGCACTAATAATAATAACCATTTTGATTTGTCTTATTAGTTTTACCTGGTTGGGTTGGCTATTAACATCCAATTCTGTGAGCCAAATTGGCATTCCTAAGGCACCGAGCATGTCAAGGGAAGCTCTCATGTAAGCCATGTCAAGATTAGTGAAATGGCCCTCAAGCCCGATTCCAACAGGCCATCCACTGTAACCATGGAAGCTTTGTATATCTTTAAGCCTCTGAATGTACTGTACTGGTGTTGCTAGTATATCTTTGGTATCCTCAATGGTGCCAAAATCATTCATGAATGGTATCGCTGATGCATCGAGATCATGAGCGACCTTATAAATACTAGCTGATGCATTGCTCCCAAGTGTGCTTTCAAGGAAAGAATAGTGAACATTTTCGTTCACAACATCCCAGGAAATCACCTTGTTCTTGTACCTCGTCATGATTGATGCCTGCCTTCTGGACACTGCTTCATTGAGTTGAGCTGGAGAGAGTGAATGGACCCAACTAGGTTGGAGAGAAGGATTGTCCCAGTGAACATTATGGCCACGAACTGAGATCCCATGTTGTTGTGCAAAATGAATCAAGGCATCAGCAGCAGAATAGTCCTCTTTTCCTTGTACTGGCTCGTTCACGAACCACTTCATTTGGTCTTCCAAGGTGGCGTATTTGAACCTTGGAAGGTACCAACTTTGATAAGCCAGGTTGGTGAGGATATTTGGGTTTATGGTACAACCAATAGGGATGCTTGTTGACTTCTGTTTGATGTTTATCTCGGAGTTTGCTAATGGTTTTCCTTGTTCATCAACTGCTTGCAATTGCACCTTTCCTTTACGTGTCTACGAGAAGGGAAAGAAAAGTGCTCAATTCAGTAAAATCCCATTTTTCTCCTTGAAAAGATGATATCACTAAGAATTTGAGTCCTCCGTACTTCATAAAATTCATACATTCAGGGGAAAACTGATACAAAAGAAGAATGTGCTCGTGAGTAAGGTTCATACGCAATATTTTCACTGATGATCATCACTTTTCTCCCTGACCCTATCTGAATACACTATGTAATTTAAAGAACTCTAATAGTGAGACCGAGACAAGTTGAGGGTACTAACATGCCATGACATAGATGGATAGACAGAATCTGAGGTACTAAACAACAAGTTGATTGTGACACTACCTTTGGTAAACTGAATTTCATTATAAAAGTAAATGCAAACAAAATAGAATCAGTAGAAAGAGCCTTAACATTAGTATTTGAAGCTAATTACCTGCTCCATGCTCTGATATTGGTGAGACTTCCATTGCTCTTTGGTGAATGGTTGTAAGGAGACGCTGTCGACCCATATTTCTACAGAAGCATTATTGCTCTGCACAAGTTTGGCCTCCATTAATAGTCAAGGAAGGAGGATATGAAAACCCAACTTGGGAAAAACAAAAACAAAACAAAACAAAAGAGGAGAATGGTAGGAAGTGGAGTTCATCACTAAGAACAAACATTTTATCAAACAGTTTCTGGACAGAAGCAGGAGCAATATCAGATAATAGTTCAAAGTAAAAATACCTCAAAATATAGGTCAGCAGGGCCTGATGCTTCTTCCACTGTGAGACCACCCTTGAGCATGGACCAACAGTTAGACTTAACAATAGCAGCACCAGCATGTTTCAAGCCATTTTCTGTTTTGAACAATGCTGCTACAAGAACATCACCACCACCACCACCATTCACTTGTAGCCAAGCTGCAATGAACACTAGTGATTAAGCGAAAAGAGGAATATAAAAAGTTGGAAACACTGTCATTAACAAAAGGTTATTGAAGTACCAGAGACTATGTACAGATTGTCCTTTTCTAGATAGAGTTTCTGAGAAACACTGTCATTGGGTTGATTTCTGCTGTGAGCCACAATGTATTTATTGCCTCTGGATTCTCTGTGTTCAATTTTGGCTTCCCCAAATGGAGACCACCCTTGCAGGTCTTCATCAAGTTGAGGGTTTCTGATGATTCCTCCACCATACTGAGGTTCTTGAGGATTTGGTAAGCACTAGCAAGAGTATGATAAGTTATGATTAACACCAAACTGATGAACTTTAGGGTTGACAACTGAAAATCGATTATCTTTTCCTTTTTCCTTTTTCAATAAAAAGGCTATGCAAAATCATGCAAACAGAGAATCTTAAATCCTTTTTTTTTTTTTTTTCAATTGCATTAACCTCTTATAGCTGAACAGGTCAGTGGGAAGGGTAAATTAATATGTATTGGTCAACTAATTTACATATTGGCTTCCTAATAAAGTAATAACCATGGTTAAAAATAATATTGCGGTCTCCAGTTGTATAAACTTAGTATCTACAGTGACGTCCTTCATAGAATGAATTGGTGTCTAATCTCTAGTCAGTCTAGTGATTTGATTGAAAGTTTTAGATCAATCACTAGCCACCACTACTTGGTGAAGGCCTTATTCCCAACAAATTGAAACTTTCAATAATGCTGCTCATCAATGTTTCGGACTTGGTGATAGTAATGTAATGAAGCTTTTTAAGAAACCCTTAAAAATAAAGAGAAAAAAATATAACTTTTGGTATCTAAATTTAGATTCAAAACAATTCAAATATTATAATTTATTGAGTTAATAATTATAGGGACTGAATTTTTTCAAATTAAAAAACTATAAGGACTATATTGTTTTTGAATCAAGAAACTATGTGACTGTGTTATTTTAAAATTAAAGTTCAAGTGAGAGAAAATTTAAGGACTAAAAATCATGTTTTCCTCAAAATTAACTTTAAATCTTTGAACATATTGAACGAGGTTAAAAAATTTATAAGGCTAATCTTATATAACCAAGAGCCAGAGTAAAATCTAATTGCTCTAATACAGTTCTAAGATCCACTATTTAGATTTCTAAGACTTAATAAGCTTAACTAAGCTCTACCGAGTATATATATTTAAAAAAAAAAATCTTAGCTTTGGTTTAAATAAGATATCTCGAGCCAAATCTAAAATTCTAGCTTACCTCAATGCAGGCCGGATAATCATAAGTCAAGGTATTCCTTACCAAACCTGCAAGGAGTAAAGAAATCGATTTATTATATGCTCATCCGATTGTAATTAACTTCTACTTAATTGCCAACTTGATTTTATTATTTCCAAATGTTGTCCCAAGGTCCCCATAATAACAAATAATCAGCCACGAATTGACCTAGAAATGAATTTCAATTTAAGTTATCGATGTTGCTTCAAATCCATCTGATCGTAATTCAATATTTCAATCACACCCGCATTCTCAAAGGGTGCTTGAGGGAAAAGTATTTTCTTTAATTAAAAAAACTAATAACATGAGTTTTGTATGCTTCACGAAATTTGAAAAAAAGAGTAATTGTAATTGTTTCACGAATCATCAATAATGAAATTTACTGGAATTTTTATTTTATATGTAAAATATAAATTAGGTCATTTTAGCCTTTTAGGTTAAGCCTGTACAATTTAAATGGAGTTTGAGAAACTATTGATACCAAATTATTGAATTTAATAAAGAAATTAATAGGACAAAAAAGATGATAAAAATTGTAAAAGAGGAGCCTAATTACAAGTCAAATATATCAAATCAAAGATACTATTTATAAATTCTGGCTTCTTATAAGATTATTATTAGACAGATAATATATCATATTATGGTTATTTTTATTTGAAGTAACTATCTTACATTTAAATCGATCATTTCTATAGATTTTTTATCCACATAAAATAAGGAAACATAAAAATATCACATTTCTATAGTCCCAAATGCGCGCACCCCTCCAATTTCTAGAAGCAAACAAACCCCTAATATTTTATTGGATAAAATATTTAAGCATGTATTGGAAACCATAGAAAACATGGATTCTTAACCACGTTTTGCAAAAAGTAATGATGATCATATATATATATATAGAGAGAGAGAGAGAGAGAGAGAGAGAGAGGGGACGAACAAACCAAGTAAAATGAAGGTACACATCAAAAGCAATTTTTTCATGATCTTGTGCCCTCCCTCCATAGCCTCGAGTTTTTGATTCTGCTTCAGAATTTTATGTGAACAAACCAGAGGTCTTTCTAAAGATATGAATATATACCGAAGAGCAAAGCAGCATGTACTGAAGTAGAAGCCAAGTACTAGCAATGCCTTGAAGAAACTAACCATATAGATGAATGCATCAATGGTGGATCTTTGTTCTAAAGATAAGAAATATAGGTGTGTATTTCTTGCCTTGAAGAAAATATGCCATTTCTAGTTTTCTACTCCCAAATAAGCCAATCATATTGTAATAATTTTGTGTTGGACTTTCTATATTTTTTAGGTTTTCATTAATTGTTTGAACTTAGATTTATTAGTCAACATATGAGGTATCAGATCTCACATTTATTGTGTATATTTCACATTTATGACATTATAACTTATACTCATGAGTGAGGTACCAGATCAATAAATGTTTGAGTTGTTTTTTTTATGTGAAATACTTTTTTATTTTATTTATAAATCATTTTTAATATGTTTTACTAGAATTAAAAAAATTTAAAATTCATTAATCTATCTTAATATTCAATAAGTTTTTAACTTTATATCCCTATTATATTATAGGCTAAGATATATTTTTTATCCTTTGACTTTACATAAAATATTATTGTGGTCTCTTAATTTCATAAAGTGTATTTTTAGTTCTTTAATCTTAATACTGTTAATTTTAAATAATTATTTTTTCTATCAATCATTGTTATTTTTTAAAAAATTAAATTTAATAAGTCAACATTTGAGAATATTTTGTTAATATTTAAAATTTTAATGTAATTTTTTTTTGTGATGAAACTAATAGTGTTAGAGTTAAAGAATTAAAAATATACTTTTTAAAATTAAGGGACAAAAATAAAATATTATGTAAAGTTAAAAAATTAAAAATATATTTTAACCTATATTATGTTATATTATATTTTATATATATTATGTACTTTTTCTCACAAATATTCAGTGGGAGTAAAATAAATAAATTTTTAATTAAAAAAATTAATTTAATGACATGATTTATATATAGAATTAAAAAAACATTCAATTTTTATTTTATAAATATGATTGGAAGGAGTATTTAGTACAAAAATTTAATAATAGAATTAGTGTCTTTTTTTAAATTACATTTGAAAGACAAAAGAGATTGAGATCTTATATTTATGATTAGGTCAAATTATCTGACTGACTCCTAAGGGAGTAACTTTTTTGTGAGACAATTGGGGAAAACATGCTCCTATGTTAGATACGCAGACCATTCACTGTTTTAACTTATTAATGTTTATGAATTAATATTTAATTCACAAGTATGTTTAAATTTTTTTAAAAGGGAACATTTATTACTTTTTTGAAAAATCAGGTTATTACAATTTTATAAATTCAGAGTTTTTATTCGTAAATGTTGCTCTTATTCAAAAACTGCACCACCGCATTACAATCCTTTTGGAACTAAAGGACATACCTTGGACATGAAGTTAACGTGAATGAAGTTTACCCGATCAATGGAGATGTGAATAGGAGAAGTCCTTATATCCTAACTTACTTCAAGCTTGACTTAACTTATTTATTAAATAGACTCAGATCAAATTCAAGTTTTTAATTAGATCTATTTAGTTAAATAGGTCAGGCCTATTTTTTCAAAGCTTAACCTATAAACCTAATAGGCTAGCCTATTTACATATATATATATATATATATATAATGTAATATATTATAAATACATTAGTTTCACCATTTGATTTTTAATAAATTTATTATTTTTTATTTCTAGTTATATTTTCAATCATATTAGACTTGTATATTAATTTTAATGTTACTACTTTATTGTTATATTGTATTGTAGTTAGTAAATTATTTCAATTATTATATATTGTAATTGATAAGTCAGGTTATATGTTGTATATTATAATAGTTCTAAAGTGTATTTGAATAGTTTAAAACTAAAATATAAGCTTATTTAAAAGGTTTGCTTTTAAGTAAGCTTTTAAAACAGGTCAGGTTTTAAATAGGCTTAAACTTGAGCTATGAAAAAAAGTCTTTATACAAGTTTCAAGCCTCTGATTTATTATAAGGCTTAAGCTTAATTTGGCTTAGCCTATTTCCACTCCTATTTATCAATATCTAAAATTTTGGAAGGTTGTTAGATTTTTCTTTCTGTCATTCCATATTTCATGATTAGATAGTTACAATATATGGTATAGGACCTGAGAAATGGATTAATCTATTCATAATTAGCAAATAGTATAAATTTCATAGTTTATATAAAAGGTAAATATACAAGAATAATTTATTATGGTTACAATTATATTATTCATTTTACTTCTCATTTTGTTGTGTGTACCAAACAAGTCTACAAATGTATACATATTAACCAAAAAAAAAAAAAAAAACATTAAACACTTATTTTGGTGACAAAAATGCTAAACTAAGCAGCAAGTTTGAACATAGCTGTTTGCAAGGATTCAGCAGCAGGCATGACTTTTAAGTACTGAAATGAAGCGAAATTATTATTCATAACAGGATGAGTAACTTTGACATGATAATGACCATGTGAAAGGGAGGCTTCAAAGAAGCCTTTAGTATCTGTGTTCCCTGCAATCAATTCTGAATCCCTCCACTCTTGAAGAAGCTTATCCACAACATCCCCAGTAGGCAAGTTTTTGAAATTGTTATCAGTCAAGCACATCCTGTAACACCCTTCTGGTCTCCATGCTGTCCAAAGTACAATTCCCTCTACACTTGGGTGAGAGTATGCTTCTCTCAGAATCTCCTCTAAATACTCTGCCTGCAACAATATCATAAAACAAATGCGGAAACAAATCTTTAGTACACCAAGATAAGTCCTTTTGCCTTGAAGCATGCACAAAGTAATGTCTAAGACTGATGATATGGGTTGAACTTTTAAACCACTTTAATGTAGTTTTTGGACTTTTTACCTGGTTGGGTTGGCTTGTAACATCCAATTCTGTAAGCCAAATAGGCAATCCAGTGGCAGCAAGAGTATCCATAGCAGCTCTCATGTAAGGCAAGTTGAGAGTAGAGAAATGAGACTCAAGCCCTATTCCAATATTGAATCCACTATAATCACAATAGCTTTGGATTTCTCTTATCTTCTTGATATAGTTTGCTGGGGTTGATGAACCATCTCTACAATCCTCAATAGTATTAAACTCATTCAAAAACAAAGTGGTTTCTCCATCAATCTTGTGAACCTCATTGTAAATCCTAGCTGAAGCATTCTGTCCTAATTTACTTTCCAAGAACCTGAAGTGCATATTTTCATTAACAACATCCCAAGCAATGAGTTGGTTTTTGAACCTTGACACAACTGAACTTAGCCTCTTCTCAACTGCTGAGTTAAGCTGATCTGGTGACAGTGAAGGGACCCAACCAGGTTGGTAATGAGCATCATCCCAAAACACGTTGTGGCCGCGAACTGCAATGTTGTGTTGCTTGGCAAACTCAAGCATGGCATCTGCTATGGAGTAGTCTTCTTGGCCTTGATTGCGTTCTGTGCTGTACCACTTCATTTCGTTCTCAAACGTGGCGACTTTGAACCGAGAAGTGAACCAACTCTGGTATGCTTCGTTGTTGAGGATGTATTTGTTTATTGCACTACCGAATGGAAAACTTGGGTTCTTCTGTTCAATGGATATGGTCGCATTTGGCAGGGAATTACCTTGTTCATCAACGGCTTGGAGTAGCACTCTTTTCTTGCGTATCTGACAAGCCAGAAAAACATGAACTTCAATGCCATAAGGACATTCCTCCTTATTTTCAAAACCTACATGTGAATACATGCGTGGGAAAACTTTGGGTGAAAAAAAAAAAAATGAAATTGTGACGGAGGCATACCTTTTCAATACTCTGGTACTGATGAGACCTCCATTGTTTGCGTGTGAAGGGCTGTAAGGAAATGCTATCTACCCATATCTCCACAGATATGTTATGGCTCTGTAGATTTTAGCATTTATGCAGCTAAGAAAACTTATGGCTCCATTGATAACTAAAAACTACTTTCCTTCCATGAAGTAATAATCTATCAAACTAATAATTCAGTACAATAATTTCAACCCCATTGAAGTACCTCAAAATAGAGCTCAGCTGGTCCCGATGAATCTGCTGTGAGGCCACCCTTAAGCATAGACCAGCAATTTGATTTAGCAACAGTAGCCCCAGCATGTTTGAATCCATTGACTGTTTTAACAACTGCTTTTACTGTCACATTTCCCTCATTCACTTGTATCCATGCTGCATAGAACAACCGTTAGCCAAATATGAAAAAGAATACGGAAAAAAGAAGATGAATGAAAATAGAAGTGAGTCTTTTATGTACAGTTACAGTCTTTTGTGTTGCTTCCTGTAAATATGTGACTGAAGAGAGTCTAATTTTGCATTTTTAATGGGGAGTGATTCATAATTCGCTGTAAATTATACAACTGAAAAAACTATACATGTTAGAAGTCAAGGGGTGTATATGTAGTGATGTGGAGCCAACTCACCTGATAATGTGTACAGCCTATTCTTTAGCAGAAAAATCTTTCGGGAGGCACTGTCATAGGGATTATTTCTGCTATGGGACACAGTATAATGGTTGCCTCTTGACTCTCTGTGCTCTATTCTCGCACTGCCAAATGCGCTCCAACCTTCGAGTCCATTATTCAATTCTGGGTTTTGGATGATTCCTCCACCATATTGAGGCTTTTGAGGGTGCTCCAAACACTGACGTTGATGACATGGGGGCTCGTGTTTAGAGTATGTATATAACAGCGTTGAGCATAGTAAGATAATTGCATAGACCAGAGAGAACGCGTATTACCTCAATACTAGATGTGTAATCATAGGTTAAAACTTTGGCTTCAAATCCTGCAGATGCATCATACCATGAACAGTGAGTTAATTCAGATGGATCACTAATCTTCTGTGTTAAAGAATGTTAATATTTTTAAAATGACTTCATGGGTTTTTTTTCCCCACAGCATTGAGCATGCTGTTCTATCTTCTGCTA